TCTCCACTCCTCACCTCTGATCTCCTCTCTACTCCTCCCTCGCACATCTTTTTCTTCTCCCTTTTCTCCTTTTTTCCTCTCCTCTGATCTCCTCTCCTTTATTCTCCTGTCCTCTCCCCTCCTCACCTCCCTTGCACATCTTTTTCTTCTCCCTTTTTTTCATTTTTTCTCCCTCTAACTGCCCTGCTTTTACCTTTTTCTCACTCCTCCCTCTCCTCCCTTGCTCCTCTTTTCCTCTCTCCCTTATATCTCCACCCTCTCTCCTATATTTCTTCTCCCATCTCTCTCTTTACTCTTTCTCCCCACTCTCCTTACTCCTCCCTGCTCCCTACATAGTGCACTACGTAGGGATTTAAATACTGGATCCTGCAGCCCAACAGAGCAAAATACAGCTAAGAAACAGTCATTTGGGACTCAGACACATCCACACTCGATAAATGATGCACTGTTTGGCTGTAGAGGCTAGAATTTCTAAACTTTCATAGCTAGAACATTATTTAGGGACTACCGAGCTGTTTGGGATTCAGCCTGGGACAGTTCTTTCCAATAGAACCTCATAGGCATGAATGTTAGAACACACCTTAACATATCATATTATTGTCAGTGAGCATAAAAGTTGAAGAAAGTAGGCGTTATTAGCAGCTGTGGTAAAGAAGGTAATAATTAAAGGATCAATCTATGATGAAATAATAATAAAACCAGCAGTGTCTGTCAGTCTGTCTCTCTCTCTCGTTAAATCTCCCTCTTCCTCTCTGCCCCTGGCAGACTCTTCTGCTTCCTCAGTATCTTCTCTCTGTCTGGGAGAATAACCGGTTGCGTTTCTCCGTTCTTTGAGGAACCGTCCCATCTGCTTCCCCCCCCCCAGAGTCTAAACCACAAAACAACTTCTCCTCTTCTCCATCCGTCAGTCACAGACGCCCACATTTGCCTTCGGATGGTTCTTCTGACACTCTACAAGTTGCCGGCTTCAACCTCTGCAGCCGTGAGCTTTGTTTTTGCAGCCTATTCACGGACGCTGATGCCATCCGTTCAGACTGGCATGATGTTTTGTAGAGGAAAGTATAGCTCAGTGTGACTGTAATTAGAATAATAATTGATTTGACGCGAGGATAAGTAGCAGACAATGACGTCTTCAGCTTGAACCGTGTGGGCGTTCAACTCCTTGTAGGGAGCAAATATTCGAGGACGATGGAAAACATGAACGTTTTGACGTTGCAGGGACGTTTGGCTGCTCCTCATGGGGAAAAATTCCTTCTGTAACCCAAAAATTGCGTCTTTTATTAGAAAAATGTAAAAGCACCAAAAGATGAGCATTACATAACTAGGTTAAGTGTTATTGCCATTAATAACTGGTAATTGATTTGACATGAGGAGAAGTACCAGACAGTGACGTCTTAAACCAGGTGTGTGTGCTGAGTGGTGTTTGGACCGTGCCGAGCTCAGGACACCAAACCCAGCAGCTCCTTCTCGGCTGGACTCCAACACGGTTTTTCCATCTGATCCATCATAAAACACATTTTTACATCTTTTTCTACTGAACAGGGAGAAACAGCCCAAACACAGGCTTTTGCCTGACTGAAATCTTTGATGTCTTAAAGCAACATAGAAGTTACTTTTTTTTAGAGATAAACAGTTCTATGCAAAAGTTTGGGCACCCCTGGCCAAATGATATATTTTGGTGATTTTTTATTAGTGGACTATTCTCAGTCCAGCAGTGACACTGAGCTGTTTAAAAACTCCTGCTGGGAGTATTCCACTCGTTTACCTGTCACTGCAGTGCTGAGAATGATCCAACCAGATAATACCTGCTCTGTGGTGGTCCTGAGGGGGTCCTGTATAAGAATTGGGACACCTACACAAGGTGCTGGATTACTATTAGTGCCTAGAATTAATAAAGTTTCAACAGGGGTACAGTCTTCTCATACAAAGCCCCCCAGCTTTGGAATAATCTTCCAGTCAGTGTTCAGGACTCAGACACAGCCTCAGTCTTTAAGTCTAGACTAAAAACCTACCTGTTTAGTGAAGGTTTTTGGTAATTAGTTAGATAAAAGGATCTGGGGGTTCATGCGATTGATGGTGCTGCTCTCATGCATTCACTCAAGTTTGTTGACGGTGGAGCGGAGGGGCGCTGACATCTGCCGGAGTCACAGCTGCACTCTGTTAACACTGTATACTGTGATCACTCTCTCCTAACAAACCTAACTGTCTGTGTGTTTCTTTGCCGAGCTGAACAGCTGCCTTTCCTGTGCGGCCTGATGCTGTTGCTTCATCTGCCTTGATGGGGTGCCCACTGCTCGCCAGCCTCCTGGACCAGTTTGATTACGAAGGAGCTTCCTGCTGAGGAACGCTGTGCAAACCTCAAGCTATTTAATCACAGCCATTGCTTCACCTGCCTCACGAACTATCTAATTATAGACACTGCTTCCCCTGCCTCACAATGCTCTGAGCTCCTCTCATATTTACATTAACAGATCATTATTACAGGTTCTAACAGCAGTCAGTGATGTTCATAGTCATCTTTGTAATACAATTCTAACAGTAGCTACTGCTTTTCAGTGGTAACACTGGCTGATTCTCATAGATCTGTTTCTCACTGTTACTCTGATAGGCCTCTACCAGTAGTAATTAGCTATCACACATTTTTTTCCTCTTTTCTGAATTTTAATATTTTATACTAATGTTAAAACCTTGTTCTCTGTTCATTTTGCTCTTGTGTTATTGTTTTGCTATCCGGTGTCGACCGGAGGAGGATGGGTTCCCCTTTTGAGTCTTGGTTCCTCTCAACGTTTCTTCCTCTTGCTCTGAGGGAGTTTTTCTTGCCACTGTCGCTCATGGGGGCTCGAATTTTTCTGTAAAGGTGCTTTGGGATAACAACTGTTGTAAAAAGGTTGTATAAATAACCTTTGACCTGACTTGACTGCATGCAAACACAACACATTTGTAGTATTTTCTGCGTTAATACAGTTTGATAATGAACTTTGTTGAATGAGGAGTTCGAGCAGGGTAAGCACCCACCTTTGTAGTGCAGAGGGTTTATAACTGGAACTGAGGAGTACTGAGCACTGGGGTCTTCACCTCAGCCAGTGTGGGTCAGGTTTTCTTTGGTGGGCAGCAGGGGGCGCTGCTGGGACAAAAAACTGACTTCAGCTGTTATGTCAGAAACACTTTGAACTGGATTTTAAATGTATGAAATGTGCTGTTTAAATACTATTATTATTATTATTATTATTATTATTATTATTATGGCATAAGTGTATAACGGCCTTTCACATTGATTACACTTATTCCTCCCTGTCTTTGACTTCTCTAAGAACAAATCAGCTTCAATCAAATCTGATAAAAAGATACAGCTGTTGAATCAAAGCAAGTGACTTCATTTCATTCAGCACTATGTATTCCTCCATTTCAGCGCTGTTTAATCCTGCTGTCCTTTATTTCATCCTTCCATTCTCACACTGCAGAGCCCTGCTGGTGACATCCTGTATAAATAAAAATAATGCATGGCCACGGCTTAGTAAGACATGGGAATGAGATAATTAAGTTGTGGCAATGACTTAGTAGGGCATGGAAACGAGATAATTAAGTCATGGCAATGACTTAGTAAGGCATGGAAATGAGATAATTAAGTTGGGGCAATGACTTAATAAGGCAGGGGGAACGAGATCCTAATGCATGGCCACAACTTAGTAAGGTGTGAGAACAAGATAATTAAGTCATGGCCACGACTTAGTAAGGTGTGGGAACAAGATAATTAAGTCAGGGCAATGACTTAGGAAGGCATGGAAATGAGATGATTACGTTGTGGCCACGGCTTAGTTAGGCATGGGAACGAGATCCTAATGCATGGCCACAACTTAGTAAGGCATGGGAACGAGATCCTAATGTGCGGTCACAACTTAGTAAAGCGTGGGAATGAGATCCTAATGTGTGGCCATGACTTAGTAAGGTGTGGGAATGAGATCCTAATGTGTGGCCACGACTTAGTAAGGTGTGGGAATGAGATAATTAAGTTGTGGCCACAGCTTAATAAGGCATGATCTAATTCCCACACCTTACGAAGTCGTGGCCATGACTTGATTATCTTGTTCCCACACCTTACTAAATCGTGCATTAGGATCTCATTCTCATGCGTTAATACGTCTTGGCCACGCATTATTTTTATTTTATACCGGGTGTCACCAGCAGGGCTCTGTACCCATGCCTTACTAAGTTGTGGCCACGTGTTAGGATCTCATTCCCATTCATTAAAGCGTCGTGGCCACGCATTGTTTTTATTTATATGGGATGTCACCAGCAGGGTCTTGTATCACACAGACCTTTTGGTGGTTCTAGCTCATGGCTAAGAACCTTGTACTCCTTAAATTGACATGTTTTGTTGATATTCTAAGTAAAAATAAATTCACATCCTCTACAGGAAACAAGCTTAAATATGATGTTTACCGCAGATTTTAGTGCACAATTACTATTTATTTGCTGAGTTTAACATATTGCATATTTAAAAAAAAAAACTTTTGCACGGGCTTCATTTTATGTTTATGTAATATTCAGCAAATAAACAGTAACAGTGCATAAAAATGTGCAGAGTGTGTTAACTTCACTAAAACCAACATAACACGTCATTTGACCAGGGGTGTCCAAACTTTTGCACACGAACATACAACCAATAAATCTGGCAAAATAGATTAATCGCGTTTCACACTGATGGCTCAGTGCCAGTGCCCCGATGACCCCTCCTCCGGCCCTCTCCTGCCTGGACTTTCATGCTTAAGCCCCTCTTGGCAAGTCAGTGTGAAGTTTGCTTGTAAACTGCCTTCTGCTGAGCTGTCCTCGGTGGGCTGGTGAGAGAGGAGGTGGGGGTGTGTGAATCAGGGGGAGGATCCCTCTCGCGCACGCAGAGGTAAATCCTCTCGCACCCTCCTCTCTCCTTCTCTATCTCTCTCTCTCTCTCACTCTCCTGACGCTCTCCACGCTCGCCCCGCGGTTCAGCTCGGGCACGATGCCGCCTGTGGGAGCTCTGAGGCTGGCTGTGCTTTCCTCGCTGTTCTCCGTCTCTCTGCTCTTCCCGGACGAGTCTCCTCTGCTGAAGCCCAAAGTCCTGATCGCCATCGTGGCCAGGAACGCAGCGCACAGCCTGCCGCACTACCTGGGCTGCATCGAGAGGCTGGACTACCCCAAGGAGAGAATCGCCATTTGGTGAGAAAGTTTTAGTTTTAGTTGTTAAAACTTTGAAGAAGTTTACACAAGTTTTCCCCCAAACGGCGCTCAGGTAACATCACAACCTGGAGGTGTTCTTACTGTTTACTCTCGGAGCTTCAGGTCACATATTTTCACATTTTAAGTCAAACAGCTTTAAGGTAAAAGGATTTTATTGTAATGTAAACGTTATAAGATGCTGTAACACGCAGGTAGTCTGCCCAGAGGCTGCACTGCAACAGTGGGCAACAGTGGTGCTGTTGGTGATTTGGTGCTGATAGTGGTGGAGGGGGTGTTGTTGATGGTGGGTGGGTTTTATTGGTGCTGTCATTGGCCGGTGTTGATGATGCTGATGGTGGCCCAGTGGTCGTGTTAGATGATAGATTTGGTGGTTTTGGTGTTGGTGGTTGTGTTTTGGTGTTGGTGGTGTTTTTGGCTCTGTTGTTGGTTCTGGTGTTAGTGGTACTCTGGGTAAGATTAGTGCTGCTGTTGTGCTGTTGGTAGTATTAGAATTTATGGTGTTTTTGGTGTTAATGGTACTGTTGGTGGTATTAGAGGTTTTGGGGGATTTTGAGGTATCAGTGTTTTTGTGGATCTTGGTGGTTTTGGTGTTTGCGGTGCTGTTTTTAGTGTTGGTGTTTTTGATATTGTCAGTGGTATTAGTCTTTTTGGGGCTGTTGGTTGATGTTAGTGATGCTGTTGTTACTATTAGTGTTTTTGATAGTGTTTTTTGGTGTCAGTGGTGCTTTTGTTAGTGTTAGTGATGGCTTGGTTGATAGTACTGTTGTTGATTGGTGTTTTTCTTGGTTGTGGTGTTGGTTGTGGTATTGTTGATGCTGTTAGTGGTGATCGTGCTGATGGTGCTGTTGGTAGATTTGGTGGTTTTGGTGTTAGTGTTCTGTTGGTGGTATTAATGTTTTTGGGGTTTTGGTGTTGGTGGTACTGTTGGTAGTATTAGTGATTTAGGTGTTGGTGGTGCTATTCGTTTAGGTGATGGAGGTATTAGTGTTTTTCGCTGCTGTTGGTAGTTTTGGTGTTAGTGATCCTGTTGGTAGTATAATGGTTTTGGTGTTTTTTGTTGGTGGGTATGTTTTGGTGTTAGTGGTGATGTTATTGTCATTAGTGTTTTTGGCTCTGTTGTTGGTTTGGGTGTTAGTGGTGCTCTGGGTTGTATTAGTGGTTCTGTTGGTAGTATTAGAATTTTTGGTGTTTTTGTTGATGTGTGGTGTTAATGGTGCTGTTGGTGATATTGGAGGTTTTGGGGCGTTTGAGGTATTAGCGTGTTTGTGGTTTTTGGTGGTTTTGGTGTTTGTGGTGCTGTTGTAACCATTAGTGTTTTTGATAATGTTGATGTTTTGGTGTCAGTGGTGCTGTTGGTAGTATTATTGTTTTTGACATTGTTGGTGTTATTAGTGTTTTGGGTGTGGTTGTTGGTGGTTTGGTGTTAGTGGTTCTGTTGTAACCATTATTGTTTTTGATAATGTTGCTGTTTTTGGTGTCAGTGCTGTTGGTAATATTAGTGTTTTTGGGGATGTTGTTGTTGGTATTAATGGTTTTGAGGATGTTAGTGGTGGTATTAATGGTTTTGGGACTGTTGGTGGTTTTAGTGTGTGTGGTGCTTTTGTTACTGTTAGTGTTTTTAATACTGTTGGGGTTTTGGTGTCAGTGGTGGTGTTGATAGTATTAGTGTTTTTGACGTTATTGGTGGTACTAGTGTTTTGGGGGCTGTTGTTGTTGGATTTGGTGTTAATGGCACTGTTGTAACCATTATTGTTTTTGCTAATGTTGGTGTTTTTGGTGTTTGTGGTGCTGTAGTTACCATTAGTGTTTTTGATAATGTTGATGTTTTGGTGTCAGTGGTCGTGTTGGTAGTATTAGTGTTTTTGACATTGTTGGTGGTATTTGTGTTTTGGGGGCTGTTGTTGTTGGATTTGGTGTCAGTGGTGCTGTTGTTACAATTATTGTTTTTGACAGTGGTGATTTTGGTGTCAGTGCTGTTGGTTGTATTAATGTTTTTGGGGCTGATGTTTGTGGTTTTGGTGTTTTGAGGGCTGTTGGTGGTGGTACTAATGTTTTTGGGGCTGTTGGTGGTTTTGGTGTTAGTGGTGCTGTTGTTACAATAAGTGTTTTTGATATTGTTGGTCTTTTTGGTGTCAGTGGTAATGTTGTTTTTGGGGCTGTTGCTGGTGGTATTAGTGTTTTCGGTGCTTCAGTTGTCTGTGGTGGTGGTATTGTAGGTGTATTTGTGGTGGTGTTGGTCTGTGTTAGTACTGTTAGTGAAGCTGAGCTGCTGATGCACACAGTGGGGATCCTGTTAAAAAGTTGTCTCTAATGAAAGCCTTGAGTCCTGAGAGGGTTGGCCAGAAGAGCGTGAGGCGACCTGCTGCGCATTTTTACGCGTGTCTGCCCGCTTTTAACTGCATGTTAAATGGAGATGAAAGGCATTTGCTGGCTAAGCAGTGCTGGCTGTTTTCCTTCTCCAACATCAAAAAACGGCGCCCAGCCCTTAGAGAACCAGCAGGTAACTGAAGGTGGAGTATCCAAGGTGCACAAGGTGCACATGTAGACTAAATATGGTGCACATAGGCTATGCAGGATCCAGGGTGCAGTTCATTTGTATCTGTAGACTATCCAGGTTGCAATGCAGGTATGTCTTTCTTCTACCCTCTGTGCACCTGGATGTCATGTGTAATTACAGCATGATGACATGGCTTGGGAACATCTGGCAAAACACGAACGAGTCTTCTGTTTGAGGTTTAAGAGTTGCATCCGTTTGTCAAGCTGCTTTCATTTCATTTCTTTTTTTTCTTGATCTCAGTTTGTCCAATTCAGTCAATCACACGCTCCCTCATTCATTCACTTGTTTACTCACTCACTCATTCACTCACTTGCTCACTTATTCCCTTGTTTTCCTAATGGTGTGCTCCAAACTCTTCACTGATTTCATGAGACTCTTTATTGTTACTTGTATACCTGCGCACCTGTATTATAATATCAGCAGGAGAAAAGAGGGAGGAATAATATAAGTTCATTTAATATAATTTTAAAAATAAAATATTCAACAAAACACAGTTTAAAAGAGATTTCCACAGATTTAAAAATAATAAAATTGATCCGTTGTCTTTCGAGTTTTATATGTAATGTTGATAATGTTAAAATATAAGAAAATCTAAGAAAACATTTTTGTGGGGCTTCTCCCCTCCGCCATGAACAGATCTTTAAAAAATGCATTTTAGGCAGAGGACGTGTTTCAAAACTATCATAAAACAATGTGTCAGGCATCAGACAGTGCATTCATAACCATTTCCTGTAATAGCTTTTTGTGAGAGAGCTCTACAGACGTTAAACTCCTCAGATGTCTGGTTCCCATCACCACCACTGTAATTTCTGACTCTAGAACGGAGCTTTTCACATCAAACCACTCTGAATGACTTTGTCTACATCCTAACCATTTAATTATGCAGAAAATTTGAACCAATGGTGGAGTTACCCTTTACTGCAAAGCTTTCTGTGTTAAATATTCATCAGAACATTCCACAAATTAGACACTATGACACCTTTCCATCTATCATCTACCCAAACTAGCAAATCAGTAAATGTGAGCAGAATAGTACCCATAAACAGCTTTGGCTTTGAAAGCTGAGGTTATTTAATAGCATTCAAGCCAGCCTTCGCTTCTGAGCGTGGTGTTTTAATGAAAGAATAGGGCCGACATTGGCTGGATTATGGTTTTGGGTTCAGTCTACATAAACCCTGTTGTTATGCCAGTGTGGGTCAGCGGTGCTACCCTGTCAGTAAGTGTGTGCGCAGGATGTGTGTAGGATTGTCTCTGTAGGCAGGAGTGCTAATTTGATCTGATAAGAGGGGAGGACTAGCGTCAAGAGGCTACAGCCTACGTGCAGTGCTAGCACCACATGGAAGTTGCAGATTTCATGCATAAATCTAGGTGAATGAAGTATTCCCATGATGTTTAATGCATGATACGACATTACAACAAACAATATAATTAGCAGGAAATACATATGTGGACGCTTTGCAGAGTGGAAAGTAGGGGAGCCCGCATGGCCTTCTAGGCCTTCAGAGAAGACCTAATGGTTTTTGGAAACCAAAAAAAAAAAAAATACATGTCTGTAATTTTCAGGTTTTTTTTTCTTGCTCGTATTTAAACTCTGCAACTATTACAGTACTAGTCTTCTATTTTAATTGTTCAGGTTTAGATGGAAAAGAAAGTACTGAAATTCTTGGAACTTAATCAGGAATTGTTTTTCTCCATAGGTATCTAGGTAAGTTGAGCTCTCTCATTAGTTAGGACAGCTCTTTTACTGTCCTTTTGTGGCTCCACAGCAGAATCAGATTTGTAGGTAAAAATAAAATAATCCTCCTTTACAGTAAAATAAAGCTCTGCTGATCGTTCAACACAGTTTAACAATAAATGGTCTTAAACGCTGGAGTTAATGTAGAACTGCTAATTCACCCTTTAACCCTGAAGATCAGCGCAGACTGCTGGTCACCATAGCAACACAGACAAATCTCGCCTAGCTAGTAGCTAACGAAGCGGCAAAGAGAGAGATTTAAGATGAGCATCGATAATTTGGAGACGAATGGACTTATTTACATTTATAATCACTCCAGCTGGTTTCCTGATACGTTTAATCCACAACGAGAAACTGTCAAACACTAAAAAGTCACAAGGCTGAAGTCAGTTTCTCGTTCGAATTTTCCCGTTCCACCTTAAATGGTGCAGCAGTTACATTCTGGCACCATTTAAGGTGGAACAGGAAAATTCGAACAAGGAGCTTGTGAATGAGAAGCGACTTCAGCCTCGTAAAAAATCAAACGTTAAGTGACATGAAACAATTAACTATTCCACTTTTGTGGAAAAGTTTCCTGCCAGAGATGCGAGAAAAATTGCTATAGCTGAGCTAAAGCTTAAAGCGAAGTAAGTCTACGTTTTATGTTATATATGTTTTATCCTATATTAGTACATCAGCACATACTGA